TTCTAGCTATTTTGAAATATACAATATATTATTTTAAACAATAGTCACCCTACTGATCTGTCAAACACTAGGTCTTATTTCTTCTAACAAACTGTATATTTGTATCCATTAATCAGTTTCTCTTCATCCCGTCCTCCTCACTACTATTCCTGGTCTCTGGTAATCACCAACCTACTCTCCATCTTCATACTATCCACATTTTTTTTAGCTCCCACATACGAATGAGAACTTGCAAGATTTGTCTTTCTATACCTGACTTATTTTACTTAAAGCAGTGCTCTCCAATTCCATCCATGTTGCTGCAAATGACATCATTTCATTCTTTATGGCTCAATAGTATTATTTCATTATGAATAGATACCACATTTTCTTTATCTAGTTATTTGATGAACACAGGTTGATTCTATATTTTTGCTACTGTGAATAGTGCAGTGATAAACATGGGGGTGCAGGTATCATTTTTTTTTTTTTTAGTTGGAGTCTCTCTCTGACTACCAGGCTGGAGTGCAGTGGTATGCTCACGACCAACGCAGCCTTGACCTGCTGGGCTTCGGCGATCCTTCTACCTCAGACTTCCAAGTAGCTGGAACCATAGGCACACACCACCATGCCTGGCTAATTTTTTTTTATTGATTGTAGAGACGAGGTTTCGCCATGTTGCTCAGGCTGGTCTCGAACCCCTGGGCTCAGACAATCCTTTTGCCTCTGCCTTTTTTTTGTTTTTGTTTTTGAGTTGGAGAATCACTCTGTCGCCCAGACTGGAGTGCAGTGGCCGCTCCCGGCCACCGCAGCCTTGACCTGCTGGGTTCCGGTGATCCTTCCACCTCAGCCTTCCAAGTAGCTGGAATTACAGGCATGCGTTACCCACGCCCGGCTGATTTTTTGATTTATTGTAGAGATGAGGTCTCGCTGCCCAGGAGGGTCTTGAACACATGGGCTGAGGCAATCCACTCACCTCAGCCTCCCAAAGGCGCGGGATTACAGGCTGAGCCACCAAGCCTGGCTATTGCCTCTGCCTTCCAAAATGCTGGGATTATAGGCATGAGCTACTCCGCCTGGCTTTTTAAAAATTTTTTTATTTTTATTTTTTATTTTTTTTTGAGTTGGAGTCTCACTGTGTCACCCAGACTGGAGTGCAGTGGCCACTCCTGACCACCGCAGCCTCGACCTGCTGGGCTCTGGCGATCCTTCCGCCTCAGCCTTCCAAGTAGCTGGAACTACAGGCGCGCGCTACCACACCCGGCTGATTTTTTTTTTTTAATTTATTGTAGAGATGAGATCTCACCAAGTTGCCCAGGCGGGTCTCGAACCCGCGGGCTCAGGCAATCCACTCACCTCAGCCTCCCATAGGCGTGGGATTACAGGCTGAGCCACCAAGCCCGGCTGCGGCTGGCTTTTTAATATACTGATTCCTTTTTCATTGACTAAAGGCCCAGTAGTGGGACTTCTGGATCACATGGTAGTTCTACTTTTAGTTTTTTGAGAAATCTTCATACTGTTTTCCATAATGGCTGCACTATTTTTCCTTCCCACCAACAGTGCATGTCTCTTTAATAATAGCTATTCTAACTATTACCAAGGTAATATTAAAATACAGCTGTAAATGATAAAAAAAGTTTAAAATTAACAAAAAATATGTTTCTTTTGACTATTAAAAATATAAGGAGCCAGCTGGCCTTCACTCTCTCTCTCTTCAAGCCATCATATTTAAACAACGGTGAGCCTGGGACTGAGTAGCTATTTATTTCCTGCAATATGAAGTTTAGCTGCTAGACACCAAAGAAACAACACAAAACTAAAAAATGGTGAAAATCCTAGTTGCACTCTTCATTTTGGGAAGCATATCCTCCTGGATTCTTTTTTTCTTTTCTTTTTTTTGAGTTGGAGTCTCACTCTGTCACCCAGACTGGAGGGTAGTGGCACGCTCCCGGCCACCACAGCCTCAACCTGCTGGGCTCTGGTGATCCTTCTGCCTCAGCCTTCCAAGTAGCCGGGACTATAGGCGCATGCTACCTCGCCTGGCTAATTTTTGATTTACTGTATAGACAAGGTCTTGCCAAGTTGCCCAGGTGGATCTTGAACCTGCTGGCTCAGGCAATCCACTCGCCTCCCCAGCCTCCCAAAATGCTGGGATTACAGGTTGAGCCACTGAGCCTGGCCCCTCCTGGATTCTTAAAGATATGGTGACCCCAGATGCTAGTGAAGGGCTGCTCACAGAACACAGAGCATCATAGACTTTCACACAGAGAAAGTGTAGTCTGTGGCCAAGACAAAATTCTACAGAGAAAATGGGAGGAAGATAGACATGTGAGAAAGAGTGTGGACGTGATGGCTTTTGTTGAAATACAAGGTGGGATTTTGCTAGTCACTGGTGTCATTGCTTCAGACATCATTGTGGTTGTAAGGAAAATAAGAGGAAGGTAATAAAAAGTTGAAGAACTGTGCTATCTTGACAACATAAAAAAAACCAAACAACTCGCTATGCTTGTGTTAAAAGACAACCCACTGATATGCTGTCATGTAGTTCTCAAGCTGTGGAGAGCCCTCACTTTCCAAAAGCAATGGAAAGCAAGATAATTCACAAGGCTTGCAGCTCTTGAAATATTTTCTTTTTATATACATTTGATTAAACTAGGTTTGTAAAGTAAAACATAAAAAACAGGGGAGCAAAATTAAGGTAAATCAAACCATGTTAGACACTAACTGTAGCTGGGCTTGGTGGCTCAGTCTGTAATCCCGCGCTTTGGGAGGCTGAGGTGAGTGGATTGCCTGAGCCCGCGTGTTCAAGACCCACCTGGGCAGCAAGACCTCATCTCTACAATAAATCAAAAAATTAGCCAGGCTTGGTAGTGCATGCCTATAATTCCGGCTCCTTGGAAGGCTGAGGTGGAAGGATCGCCGGAGCCCAGCAGGTCCGGCCACTGCACTCCAGTCTGGGCAACAGAGTGAGACTCCAACTCAAAAAAATAAAAATAAAAATAAGAAACTGTAACTGTGGCTTCATTTTGAATATTCTCTGTTCTTGGTATAATGAAAAACAATCTGGAAATATCTATATGTATACATGTATACAAATACATGTATATAAAATACTTCAAATTCATAAAGACTAGCCCCAAGAGGGCGCTTCTGCAATGGAAAGAGACTACCAAGGTGATTTCCTTTAGATGCTTGAGTGTTAGGCACATATTTTCAGACTTTTGAAGAGAAACTCCTATTGCAAGTCCTGTATTTTCTATAGCCAGATGCTTGTATTTCTTTTTTTGTTTTTTGTTTTTTTTTTTTGAGTTAGAATCTCACTCTATCACCCAGGCTAGAGTGCAGTAGCACATTCATAGCCACCGCAGCCTCGACCTGCTGGGCTCAGGTGATCCTTCTGCCTCAGCCTTCCAAATAGTTGGAAATACAGGGACATGCCACCATGCCCAGCTAATTTTTTTATTTATCGTAGAGGCAAAGTCTTACCAAGTTGCCCAGGCTGGTCTCGAACCCCTGGTCTCAGGCAATCCTGTCACCTAGGATTCCCAAAGTGCTGGGATTATAGGCATGAGTCACCGCGCCTGGCAGATGCTCGTATTTCAAAGGTAGCTATCCATAACTTAGATTCCAAGTGTTCTTAACTAGAAAGTCAATGTATCTAGTACTTGATAAATGAATTCTTTTGCTATTTTTTGTTTTTTAGAGATAGGGTCTTGCTAGGTTGCCCAGGCTGGAGCACAGTGGATATTCACAGGTACAATAATAGCCCACTAAAGCCTCAAACTCCTGGGGCCAAGCGATCCTCCTACCTCGGTCTCTCAAGTTACTAGGACTACAGAGCATACCACCATGCCCTACTAGAGATGGGGTCCTCATGTTGCCCAGGCTGGGCTCAAGCTCCTGGCCTCAAGTGATCCTCCTGCTTCAGCTTCTGGAGTAGCTGGGAGTACAGGAATGAGCCACCTTTCCAAACTAATCCTTGCACTATTAATAGCAGATCAAGATGCTTGCCCTGGCATGGTGGCTCCTACATGTAACCTTAGCTACTTGGGAAGTTAAGGATGGAGGATTCCTTGAGCTAGCACTTGAGGCTACAGGAAGCTATGATCATGCCACTGCACTCTAGCCCAGAGGAGAGTCAAGCAAGTCCCCATTTCTTTTTTTTTTTTTTTTTAGTTGGAGTCTCACTCTGTCACCCAGACTGGAGTGCAGTGGCCGCTCCCGGCCACCGCAGCCTTGACTTGCTGGGCTCCGGCGATCCTTCCGCCTCAGCCTTCCGAGTAGCCGGAATTACAGGCATGCGCTACCACACCCGGCTAATTTTTTGATTTATTGTAGAGATGAGGTCTCACTGCCCAGGCAGGTCTCGAACCTGCGGGCTCAGGCGATCCACTCACCTCAGCCTCCCAAAGGCGCGGGATTATAGGCTGAGCCACCGAGTCTGGCTCCCATTGCTTAAAAAATAAAAAAGAACTGTAAAAATGTCATGTTGTACATAGTGTGTTATGAATGTGCTTAGAATAATGTGCTCAAGCTTAAAAACTTTGCTGGTAAAACAGAGAAATCAGGATTTTTTCCATCATCACTTTTTAGTGTAATGCTTTAGCACATTTTTAAGTATGGCACACATGATAATGGTTTTATTTTAAAACAGATTAAAGTACAGTCATGTATCACTTAATGATGGGGAAATGCTCTAAGAAATGCATAGCTAGGTGATTTCATCATTGTACAAACATTATAGGGTATACTTACATAAACCTAGATGGTATACCCTACTACACACCTAGGCTAAATGCAGTATAGTCTCTTAGTCCACAAATCTGCTACTGTACTAAATACTGTCAGCTACTATAACACAATGATATTTGTGTATCTAAACATAGGAAAGGTACAGTAAAAATATAATATAATGTGATTCATCACTGTCAGATGACTCATATATACAATCCATCACTGACTGAACATAATTAAGCAGTTCCATTTAATTACTATTAGAAATGAAATGTTGGTATCTCTACCTAAAGAGACTTCCTTGATCAGCTCAGCAGCAGCATGGCAACCCTGAACAAGTATCCTGATCCAAGTCGAGAGATCCCGATGTGTCTCCACCCTGAAGAGATGCATCTCAATGCCCTGCCGAGAGCCTGTCCTGGTAGCAAACGTAAGGTCAGATCCGAGTGAGGGGGATCGACATCCAGAGCCAGAATGAACCAACCTAGGACCACAAAGAGAGCAGAGATGACAAGTAATTACTGCATTATCAGAGGAAAATGTCAGAAATGTATGCTCATTGATAAGCAGAAATTAATAAAAATCCACTAGCAATTTTTGGATAAGTATATCTCAAAGCAAAATTTAGTCTGTGAAGTAGACACCATTCTGTTTTCCCATAAAATGATCCTTGGTGTCACAGGATACTGGGCAGGATGAACCATGGTCCCAATCCCAATTTTCCATGGGTTCTTGTTTCTTTTTTGAGTTGGTATCTCACTCTGTCACCCAGGGTGGAGAGCAGTGGCACTCAAGGCCACCACAGCCTCAACCTGCTGGGCCCAGGCAATCTTTTCACCTCAGCCTTCCAAGTAGCTGGAACCGCAGGCATGTGCCACCATGCCCAGCTAATTAAAAAAAAAAAATTTTACTATAGAGACAAGGTCTTGCCAAGTTGCAAAGGCTAGTCTCAAATCCCTAGACTCAGGCAATCCTCTTGCCTCAGCCTCCCCAAATGCTGAGATTACCGGTGTGAGCCATCATGCCCAGTCCATGGGTTCTTTCATGCTCTCAAGAGGTTATGCATATAAAAAAGATACAATTTTGATTAGGAAATGGTATTTAGAAAATTACCAGCAATAACTTTAGAGGAGAAATATGCTCCTGTAAGTAAAAATGGGTCAGTAACTGCATTTCAAACCGTTCGGCCAAAAACTTTTTGTAAAACATTTTTTAAATTTAAATTTAAATTTAATGTGGCCAGGCTCGGTGGCTCAGCCTGTAATCCCACGCCTTGGGAGGCCAAGGTGAGTGAATTGCCTGAGCCCGCAGGTTCGAGACCCGCCTGGGCAACTTGGCGAGACCTCATCTCTACAATAAAAATTTAAAAAATTAGCCAGGCATGGTAGTGAACGCCTATAGTTCCAGGTACTTGGAAGGCTGAAGTGGAAGGATTGCTGGAGCCCAGCAGGCCGAGGCTGCGGTGGCCGGGAGCGACCACTGTACTCCAGTCTGAGCGACTGAGTGAGCCAACTCAAAAAAAAAAAAAAATTAATAGATGTGGGGCACAATTCAGGGTTAAGTATACAAGTGGTCATTGTACAGGTGAAGTTTGGGCCTCCCTTTGGTCCCTACTTGCCTGGTTTGGGATCAGGTAACTTTATGGATGTTTTGTGCCCCTCTTCCCACTCTCCCCTGACAGTATCCTGCTACTACCAGTTCCTTTCTTATATTATGACAAATGTTCAGGGTCTGCTTATGAGTGAGAACATGTGGTACCCAGTTCTTTGTTTCTGAGATAGAGCACTGAGTATTATAGACTATAAATCCATCCAAGTTGCTGCAAAATCCATAATTTTGCCCTTTATGGTTGCATAATTTTCCATCATGTATATGTTCATTTTCTTTATCCAGTCCACTTTTGATGGGCAGCATGGTTGTTTCCATGTATTTGCTATTGTGAATAATGCTTCAATAAACATGTATGTGCAGGTATCTTTTTTATAGAATGATTTGAGTTCCTTCAGGTATATTCCCAGAAGGGGGATTGCTGGGTCGTATGGAAGGTTGATTTTTAAGGAATTGCCACAGTTTTCCACAGAGGCTGTACTAGTTTACGCTCCCATCAATAGTGTACCCTTTCCCTCGCAACGTCTCCAGGATCTGTTGTTTTTGAGTTATTGATGATGGCTATCCCGACTAGAGTTGGGTGGTATCTTAGTATGGTATGTATGTATGTATGTGTGTATTTATTTGTTTGTTTGTTTGAGTCGGAGTCTCACTCTGTTGCCTAGGCTGGAGTGCAGTGGCACACTCACGGCCACTGTAGCCTTAACCTGCTGGGCTCAGGCGATCCTTCCACCTTAGCCTTCCAAGTAGTTGGAACTGCAGGCACACGCCACCATATCTGGCTAATTTTTGATTTTCTGTAAAGATGAGGTCTCACCAAATTGTCCAGGCTGGTCTCAAACCTGTGGGCTCAGGTAGTCCTCTCACCTCCACCTCCCAAAGTGCTGGGATTATAGGTGTGAGCCACCACGCCTGGCCTCTCAGTATGTTTTTAATTTGGACTTCTTTGATGATTAATGAGGCTGAGTATTTTTTCATGTATCTGTTGGCTGCTCATATGTCTTCTTTGAGAAGTGTCTATTTGTATCTTTTGCCCACTTTTTTTTTTTTTAGTTGGAGTCTCATTCTGTCACCCAGGCTGGAGTACAGTGGCATGCTCACGGTCACCCCAGCATCGACCTGCTGGGATCTGGCGATGCGATCCTTCTGCCTCAGCCTTCCAAATAGCTGGTCTTACAGGTGTGTGCTACCATGTCTGGCTAATTTTTTTGATTTATTGTAGAGACAAGTTCTTCCCAAGTTGCCCGGGCTGGTCTCGAAACACGCAGGCTCAGGCAATCCACTTGCCTTGGCCTCCCAAAGTTCTGGGATTACAGGCTGAGCCACTGAGCCTGGCCTGTTCATTTTTTAATAGGGCTGTTTGTTTTTTTTCTTTTGGTATGTTTCCATGGGCTGTCTCTGTGCTTTCTTCATGGTTTCTTTTGCTTTGCAGAAGATTTTCAGTTTGATTAGGTCCCACTTGTCTGTCTTATCTTATATGGTATGGGCATTTGGAGTTTTGATCAGGAATTAGTTGCTTATTTCAATTTCTGTAAAGGTGTCTCCTATGTTTCCAAGATTCTTATAGTTTGAGGTTTTAAGTTTAGGTCTTTGATTTATTTACAGCTGATTTTTGTGTATGGTGATAGGTAGGAGTCCTGTTTCAATTTTCCGTATGCGGACAGCCAGTTTTCCCAGCACCATTTACTGAATAGGTTGTCCTCTCCACAGTGGTTGTTGGTGGAGGCTTTATCAAAGATGAGTTGGTTGAGAAATTGAGGTTTTGCTTCTGGAATCTCTATCCTGTTCCATTGGCTTATATGCCTGTTCTTTTACCAATACCAAGCTGTTTTTAATATTGTAGACTTATAATAAAGTTTAAAGTCTAGAAGTGTGATACCTCCCACTTTGTTTCTTTTGCTGAGGATTATATTGGCTATTCATGGTCATTTATGTTTTCAGAAGAATTTCTTTTTTTTCATTTCTAGTTCTGAGAAGAATGATGTTGGCAATTTAATGGGTATTGCGTTGAATCTGTAGATTGCCTTTGGTAGGACGGACATCAAAACAATGTTGATTCTTCCAATCCATGAGCATAGAATATTTTTCCATTTGTATGTGTTGTCTTTGATTTCTTTGAGCAGCATTTTGTAGTTTTCATTATAAAAGTATTTTAAAACATTTTTATTTTTTGTCTAATCAGCCCAATAACTTCTTTTTTTTTTTTTTTTGAGTTGGAGTCTCACTCTGTCTCCCAGACTGGAGTGCAGTGGCGGCTCCCGGCCACCGCAGTCTCAACCTACTGGGCTCCAGCGATCCTTCCACCTCAGCCTTCCAAGTAGCCGGAATTACAGGCATGTGCTACCACGCCCGGCTGATTTTTTGATTTATTGTAGAGATGAGGTCTCGCTGCCCAGGCAGGTCTCAAACCTGCGGGCTCAGACAATCCATTCACCTCAGCCTCCAAAAGGCGCAGGATTACAGGCTGAGCCACTGAGCCCGGCTAGCCCAATAACTTCTAATAGCAGTAGCTAGTGAACACTATTCTGGGGGTGACAGATTAAGAGCCACAGCAAACATAAAATTGGGTTTTATCTAAAAATTTCATGCTGTTTTTGCATTTGACTCCAGAATTCCTTGACCTGTGATGAAATGTTATGTCTAATAAAATTCAGAATAAATAAAACTGTCTTTGTTCACAGATGACATGACTGTCTATGTAGAAAAATCCCAAAGACTAGACAAAATAAGTAAAACAAAAAAACCCTCTTAGAACTAATAAGCAATTACAGCAAGGTTGCAATACATAGGGTAAATACAGAAAAGTCAGTTGCTTTGACCTATTGGAACTTGAAATTAAAAACACATTATCATTTATATCAATACCATAAAAATGAAATGCTTAGACATAAATCTAACAAAATATGTACAGGATCTCTATGAGGAAAACTACAAAATTTTGATGAAAGAAATCAAAGAGCTAAATAAATGGAGACATTTTATGTTCATGGGTAGAAAGATGTCAGCTCTCCTCGAGGTGATCTACATATTTAACACAATTCCAATTAAAATCCTAGCAAATTATTTTGTGGATGCTGACAAAATGATTCCAAAGTTTATAATGAAAGGCAAAAGACCCAGATGGCCAACATGGTACTAAAGAAGAATAAAAGTTGAAAACTGACACTACTCAACTTTAAGATGCACTGTAAAACTACAGTAATCAAGACAATGTGAAACTGGTAAAAGAAGAGGCAAATTGGTTAATGGAACAGAATAGAGAACTCAGAAACAGACCCACACAAATACATCAACTAATCTTTGACAAAAGAGTAAAGGTGATTCAATGAAGAAAGAGTAGTCTTTTCAACAAATGGTGCTGGCAATTAAGTAGACAACCATATGAGAAAAAAAAAAAGAAAAGGCTGGGCTTGGTGGCTTAGCCTGTAATCCCAGCACTTTGGGAGCCTGTGGCAAGTGGATTGTTTGCGACTATGGGTTCAAGACCAGCCCGGGTAACTTGGCAAAACCTATCTCTACAATAAATTTAAAAAAAAATTAGCCAGGTATGGTAGCATGTGCCGGTAGTTCCAGCTACTTGGAAAGCTGAGACGGAAAGATTGCCGGAGCCCAGCAGGTCAATGCTGGGGTGGCTGTGACCCAGCCTGGGTGGCAAAGTGAGACTCCAACTCAAAAAAAAAAAAAGAAAATCAAAAAAGTAAATCAAAATGAATCTGAGACCTATGTGTAAAATACGAAAATAGAAAATTTCTAGTAGATAACATTGTGGTTTTTTTTTTTAGTTGGAATCTCACTCTGTTGCCCGGACTGGAATGCAGTGGCATGCTCATGGCCACTGCAGCCTCGACCTGCTGGGTTCAAGTGATCCTTCCACCT